CCAAACCTACAAAGGAATCAAAAGCTCTACCTTTAGAATGGCTAACAGATGAACCTGTCTGGGTAGGTCAATGACCTATGACCTTTGAGAAGTTAGATGCTTTGGAAGGGTTAGTTCAGGAACAGCTAAATGCTGAACATATTAAAGAATCAAATAGTCCATGGAATTTGCCTGTATTTGTTATCAAAAAGAAGTCTGGGAAATGGAGAATGGTTATTGATCTGAGAGGTATCAACAAGGTAATTCAGCCTATGGGCTCTTTACAGCCTGGGATGCCACTACCTTTTCTAATGCCTAAGGATTGGCCAATTGTAGAAATAGATGTAAAAGATTGCTTCTTCACTATACCATTATAAGAAAAAGACAGAAAAATTCGCCTTCACAGTATCTACCTATAACAGTTCTCAACCAGCACAGTGATTTCAGTGGTAGGTGTTGCCACAAGGAATGTTAAATAGCCCAACTTTGTGACAGTATTTTGTGCATAAACCTCTGGAATTAATTCATAAACAATTTCCACAATCATTAATATAGGATTATATGGATGACATATTACTGTCTGATTCAAATAAATGTTCTTTGGAAAAGATGTTTGAAGTAGTAAAGGAAACTTTGCCTTGCTGTGGATTACAAATTGCCCCAGAAAGAATACTAAGAGGATATTCTATTAATTATCTAGGTTATAAAATAGACTCACAGAAAATTATACCGCAGAAAGTACAGATCAGAAGAGATCATTACCAGACTCCTAATGATCTTCAAAAACTACTAGGAGAAATCACTCAACTACAGGCAATTATCAGAGTAGAAAAGCATGATTTAAAACATCTGAAAATGTCCTTAAAAGTACATGAAGACCTAAATAGTCCATAAATATTATCAGCTGAGGCAGAAAAAGAATTAGAAAAGAGAATATTAGAAGCACATGTGGACTGTGTGAATCCAAAACTGGACTGCATTCTAGTTATTTTACCATCTTGAGAATACCTCTCAGGAATTAATGCAGAGGGAAGACATCATACTAGAATGGGTATTTCTGCCACATAAACAGAATAAAAAACTGAAAATGTATATAGAAAAGATCTCTGATTTGATATTAAAAGGTAAGTTAAGGATTTGTCAAGTGACTAGAAGAGACCTACCAGAAATTATTGTACCTTTAACTAATGAGAAAATTTCCTCCTTATGGAAGGATAATGAATATTGGCAGACGGCTTGCAGCAACTGTTTGGGAACAATTAGTACTAATTATCCCAAAACAGAGAGAATCAAATTCATAAAGAAAACAATTTGGATCCTTCCACATATTGTGAGAAAAACGCCTATTTCTGTAGTTCTTACATTCTACACTGATGCAAACAAATCAGGTAAGGCAGGTTATAAATCACAAAATATAAGTAAAGTAGTTCAAAGCCCTTACAACTCTGTACAAAAGACAGAGTTTTACGCCATTCTCATGGTACTTAAAGACTTTACAGAGCCTCTCAATATAGTTATGGATTCTTAGTATGCAGAGACGGTTGTCTTACATATTGAGACTGCAGAATTTGTTTATGATGGTACAGAATTATCCTCATTGTTTTTACAATTCCAGGAAACCATATGGGTCTGCCAGGTCCTATAGCATATGGCAATGACAAGATTGATCGTTTATTAATATGAAGTGTGTTGGAAGCTTCAGAATTTCATGGGATACACTGTGTTAACAACAAAAGTTTAAAGAAGGATTTTCTACCACTTGGCAACAAGCCAAGGAAATAGTAAGAAATTGCCCCACCTATTCATTCTACAATCAAACTCTGTTACCAGCAGGCAGTAATCCCAAAGGTATTCACATAAATGAAATTTGGCAGATGGACGTTTTTCACTTTCCAGAATTTGGCAGTTTGAAATATGTACACCATATCATAGACACGTTCCCAGGCTTCCAATGGGCTATTTCCCTCAGATCTGAAAAGGCTGATTTTGTTATCACACACCTCTTCGAGGTGATGGCTGTTATGGGTATACCTGCACAAATAAAAACTAAAAATGCTCCTGAAAATTGGAACAGCTTTTCAAATATTATAATATAAAACATGTAACTGGTATACCTTACAATCCCACAGGACAAGCAGTGGTTGAAAGATCTAAGTGAACCTGGAAATAAATGACTCATAAACAGCCAAGGGCAACAAAGACCCACAAACACATATTACATAATTCTTTATTTACATTGAACTTAGTGCTAATGAAAAAGGACAAACTGCTGCAGAAAGACACAGAGAAAATTTCTGAACTGAACCAACCGGTGTATTTCAAAGATGTTATGACCTCAGTCTGGAAACCGGGAATGTGTTATGTTCAGGAAGAGGTTTTTGCCTTTGTTTCCACAGGAGAAGAAAAACTTTGGATTCCATCAAAATTAATCAAGATTCGATCCGAACAGAAGAAACCTCAGGAGGAGGAAAGATGACAGCTCATCTACAAGGTCATATTCTACTATGGGTAAGGAGATCTCATAAAAGGAAAGAGAAGTGTTTTGTTTTTTGTCCTCAATGGAAAACTCAGCTCCAAACAGCAAAAAAATCCTGGAAGTATGGATACCTGAAGAAGGATGGATAGCTACCCTGAGGACTATCAAACAAACAATAATTCACTGTGTGGTATCAAAGTCCAAATCTTTCTATATTGTTTTTTATAATATCCATTTCTCGTTGTTTCTTTATATGCTTTAGTCCCCATTCATTTAACTGAAGCTGGCTTTGGAGTTGGATTGGCTCTCCTACTCTAAATCCAAGTGTATTGTTAAATAAAATTCAGAACTTAGGACAAAAGCTTCAATCGACACTAGAACTCCAGTCAAGAACTTCAATCAACATCTCCTGCCAAACAGAGACTGTCTAACCTACTTATAAGATTCTCGCCGGGCGTTGGTGGTGCACGCCTTTAATCCCAGCACTCGGGAGGCAGAGACAGGCGGATCACTGTGAGTTTGAGACCAGCCTGGTCTGCCGAGTGAGTTTCAGGACAGGCTCCAAAACAATACAGAGAAACCCTGTCTCGAAAAACCAAACAAACAAACAAAAAAGATTCTTGTTACACTAACATTTTTCTTCCCACAGGTCCCCATGAGATTGTCTTCGTCCCATTTCAGCAGTTAGTAGTTTTGAGAATTCCATGTGCCCTTTCCCTACTGTTGATATTGCAAGACAGTTTACAACTGTTAGTGTTAGTTTTTGATTATTTTAGGGTTGGAAGGAGGTGTTTAGACTTCGGTATCTCTTTCAGATAAGCTTAGGTTTAGATGGGATAGATGTTTGAGATATTTTGTTCATTGACTCAAGGTAGTTTTGTTTTAAGTTTAAATATCTTCTTTAGACTAAAAGGGGAATTGTAGGAAGAGATATTAGGACTGTGCCGCTAACCATGCCCACTTTGGGCATGGCTATAGGAGCATTTGGATGTGGTAATAAAAGGTGGTGCAGGAGAGAAGCATGTTCTCTTTCAGGCTTCCTGTCTTGTAGCGTAAGCTGCTGATTCATCTTGGTTGCCAGTTTTCTCTTGTAAGTACTTGCCTCAATAAACAGTTACCTATACCCTCTTTAATGTGCCATTTATCATTATAGTACACTACTGTGGTTAACTTTCATTGTATTTCGTCATCACCATGAATGAGTAGTTTGTCTTGCCTAGGGATACTTGAAGTTAGTCATTTTCTGTCTTTCTTCTTGAATTAGCTTCTCACTGACAAATACAAGAAAGAAACAACTTACAAAGAGGAAAGACATTTTTGGTTCACAGTTTCAGAGGGTTCAACCCATGAACAGCTGGCTCCATTCATTTTTTAAGCCATGGATAGGCATGGCAGAAGAAAGCTGCTGAGCCTATACAGCCAGGAAGAACAGATAAACAACATGAAAAGAACAGGCCAGACATACATGTTTCAAAGGTACCAGTCTGCAAGTAATTTCTTCTAACTAGGCTCCACCTTCCATAGTCTTACCAGCTTCTATTAGTCTATTCAAAATTTTAATCCATCAATGAATTTAAAACTTTAATTGTGTCAGAACTTAGTCTGATCCACTCTGGAAATGGTTAGAGGTATGCTTTACTAACCACTTAGCTATTGCTCAAGTTGAAATTCAAGATTAAGCATGATGTGTGTCTAGTACTCAAATAGTATTAAGTATACATCCATGTTGAGAAGACAATTATCCATCTCATGAACACTGATTCTATTTTACTGCAATGATCTAGATAATAGTCCTTTAGTCCAATTGATTTTTTTAAGGAAAAGGTTACAAAGGAAAAGCTATGTTGGAACACAGCTATGTTCAACCATTTCCACATTATTTATGGCTACCATGTGCTACAAAAAATGTGACTTGTGACCAGGTGTCTAATATCCATGATCTACCCCTCTTAATAGATGTTTTGACTATTCCTGATCTAGGAGAGCTTATTTCCAAGTTGACATGAAAACTTTGGCTGATCTTGGCTTCTTAACTACAAAGTAAATCTGCATAAAATATTCTGGTTCATGCTTGAGTGTCCTCAATAAAAGTAAAAAGCTCCATCTTTTAAATGTTTTGAAGAAAACAGATACAAAACTGTGTCTAACCAAGCACAGGAGAAGAATCTTGTTGCTCTTTTGTCAATCTTGGAGGACATTCACCTTCAGCAAAATAAATGCTGAATATCTAGGCTTCTAAGATCACCAGGAACACATCAATATGCTGCTGCATTTGGGTTTACAGATCCAAGGGAATTATGGAAGTGGTATCCTAGAGTCCATCTCAGAAAGCAAGGAAAATACACTGGTATCCTAACATTATGGAGAAGGGCAGAGTTAGGTGAGACTTGGATAAAGCAGTGCTTTGAAATGTTCAAAGCCTAGCAGAGTATTATAAAGGGATCAATATTTGATCTGGACTAAATATGGACTCAGGGTCTTGTTTTCATAGGAACACCCAATGTAGATATGAGAACCTCTTACCTCAAACTCTGCATCTGAGTTATACAATTAAGTTTATTTCTGTTAAAGTGATCAGATCTTCTAGGCAAAGTTAGAGGTTGTATTCCTTCTACAGTGATGTCAAATACAAAAGGTTCTGGGAGCCCTTCCTTCTAGTTAGTCTCCAAGACCTGGAAGAAAATGCAGGAAATGAATATAGAAACATCTGCTTTGAGTTCTTGATCTGCCCTTTGTCTCTGAGTGCTCACAGGCTTCTTTGGACCCCAAGACTCAATAAGTTCAGAATGAATCGAAAGAAAGTGGCTTTACATTTTCCACCTTCAGAGAACTTCTGCAACACTTTAGCTCCCCTAATATCTCTATGTTCACTCAGCAGGGGAAGAAATTCACTGCTGCCACTAGCTATTCCTAGTACAGTCTCTCAGGTCATCACTAGACACATTAGAATCATGTTATGTCCATGGTGAAATACTGTTTGTTACCTTGGGAGCTTTGCAGATGGCTTCATCTGTGCCCAGTTTTCTGGTCTGATGACTGTCCGGGCAACATTTTCCCTTCTTTGGTCTGAGTTACTTTTTCAACAAGAAGGTGAGTGTGTCAGGACTGGATGGTGACAAAGCAGAACAAGGTTAATGGAGAGCTGAAGTGAAAGCATGAAGTAAACTGGGGAGGCTTCCTTGCAGCTTAGTTTAGTGTCTGGTATGTTCTCTCAACTTGGTAAGAACATACAAAATAAGTGATGGCAGCATTTGAATAACTGTGGAGAATCTCAAACAAAGCACAGAGTGATTATAATGTCTCTAGTATTACTGGATTTTCACAAAGAAATTCATGATGCTAACTTTAACATTTAACTAGGAAATTGGAATGAAATTCTAAAGGATTTATGGAATATTCTTAGCATTGTTTTTCATAGGCATCCTGATCTCAGAAACCAGGCACTCCATCTGACAGTATTAGGAGGAGGATTTGGTTTTTAAAGTACCAAGCACAATGTAGGTGTCAAATGTGAGCTCTGAGCAATGACAGTTGTAGGCAACATATTAGAACCCAAAAATGACCTGGTTATTGGAAAATCATGATGTTTATTTTCTGACTTTTCTTTAAAATTATTAGCATATATTAATTATCTATGACAATGGGTTTCATGATGACATTTTCATACCTGTGTAAAATGTGTTTGGCTCATAAATACCTGTGGTGGTTTGAAACAAAATGGTCCCCATTAGGAGGTGTGACCTTGTTGAAGTAGGTGTGGCTTTGTTGGAGGAAGTGTGTCACTCTGGGGGAGGATCTGAGATCTCAGATATGCTCAAGCGATGTCCAGTGAGACAGACACTTCCTTGTGCCTGAGCAAGATATAGAACTCTCAGCTACCTCTCTAGCACCATGTCTGCCGGTATGTCACCATGTCCTATCATAATGATAATGAACTGAACCTCTGAACTGTAAGCCACCCAGCTAAATGTTTTCCTTTATAAGAGGTGCTGTGGTCCTGGTGTCTTCTCACAGCAGTAGAAACCCTAACAAGGACAACTCCCCACTGGTTTTCTTATCCTTCCCCCTCACTGATCCCCATCATCTTCCCAACTAGTGCCCTTTATACATTCTTGTACATTTTGTTTGTTTGCTAAGATAATGAGTTTCATTGCAGTTGCTTACAGGAGCATGGATAAGAGGTTATATACAGGAGCACTGACCCCATAGCAGTGGTTATACTATTGAAGAAAATGTCTATCCTTTTCCAGCCACTGTTAACTGCATATAGATATTCAGAGAGAATTAAACTTGGGAGCACACCCTTCTGGCAAACATTAACTGCCTGTAATTCCTTAGGACCTCTCTTGATTTTGAAAGAGAGAATGCCCTACAGTTTGTCTCAGCTATGGATTCACCTTATGGTCACACCCTGGGTTTACTCCATTTTTCTTGCTTCATCCAAAGGTTAAGGAACAGGTAAGGAAGCAGTCCTACTCTGCAAAATGCTCACACTGGAAGGGAGGAGGGCCAGGGGGAGTCTGAGAAGCATGTAAAGCAGGCAAATTGACCACCGGGAGGCCAGCAGCTAGCCATAGAAAAGGAGAGGAAATGAGATTCTGCCTCCCAAGCTCCCTGAGTCATCTTGTTGAATGGGAAGATTGGTGTCCACACTCAGAACGGGATGGAGGGGGACGCCGTGAGAAGGAATTAGCCTTGATTAGAAGCAGCTGGGAGAAGAGCGCAAACCCCTGAAGCCTTCAATAGGGGATAAGGCGAGTCTGTGAAATACAGTGCTATAAGTTCTGTTTTGCTGTTTAGCTAACATAATTGTTTATAGTACAAGAAAAATATTAGGAGAGAAAAAGAATGCTCACCCATGAAAATTAATGAGAACCAAACCAGAGGATAATTCAATCCAGGACCAAAGCAGCATAGGTTTGTTAGGGACCAATTGCACCAGAAAAATGTAGCATCAGCTTGCTTCTTGAAAAGAACTGTGAATACCCATGCATGTATGTATGTATGCATGTATGCATGCACGCGTGCGCTCACACACACACACACTCACACATGTATGCAGTCTACTGCTTGAATGTGTATAAGAGGAACATGGCAGATGTTACACATTTGGACTTTAGCAAAACACTTGACGAAATTGTCCCATGGAATTTTACTTGCAAAATTCATTCAAATTGGCTGAGATAGGAAAACTGTGATGCATATTGAAAACTGGCTCCGAAGTTATAAACCGAAGGCAATGGAACCAATGACTAAGTGGCCACAGCTCTGGCTGCAGGGAGGTGTTTAGCAGAGTGTCCCAGGGGTGACTGTGAGGGCTGAGTTTATTAGCAGTCTTTATCGAGGACTTGGAAGAGCATCCGCAGGATGCACCTGAATTCTGCCAGGAATACTAAGTTGGCCAGTGTTAGCAAAAGGAAAGAGGATCAAGGCCTGGAGGAGATGAACAGACCAAGAGGTTTGAAGTGTGGGAAGGAAGGAAGGAACAAAATGGGATCTGCCCAGGGAGAATGGCTATCTGCTGGTCTGCAGAGTCAGTTAGCGAACTCTCAGAAAAGTACAAGGTAGAAGCAGCCCCAGGAGAGGGAACAGCGCATCCCCTTAAGATATAGCAAATAGGCCCAGAGATTCAGAATCTATGGGGTTCTCCTTAAGAAAAATCTGGCTGTAGAAATAGCTCAGTTGATAAAGCACTTGCTTTGCAACCACAAAGTTTTGAGTTGTGCCCAAGAAACAGCATTTTAAAAGTTGGGTGTCATGGTGTGAGCTTGTAATCCCACCCTAGCACTGGGGAGGCAGAGGCAGATAGCACTGGAGTTCACTGGCCAGCCAGTCTCATCTATTTGGTGGGTGGCCAGAGACAGACCCTGTCTCAAAAAACAAAGTAGCTGACATCTGAGGAAGGACACATGAGGTTGTGCCCTCTAGTCTTCACAGGTGTGCTTGCATGTATACACACACACACACACAGACCTAACACACATATGAATATATTCACAAACACACAAACATCCACATCCACACATGCATAAGTACACATGCACACACACAAGCACACATGCATAAATTCACACATACAACTGTCATACTCATATACACATGAGTTAGCAATCTAAAATTTTGTGCAGTATTTGTGAAAGTAACTGGCACAAATGAAAAGCTAAGGAAATGAAGCGTTTCAGATTTTGTAATTTCAGAAAACCTGTCAAATGTGAGCTGTTAAAAACGGCTTTTCTCTTCTTGGTTAGGAAGAGAGGGGGAAACATTGAGGTGAGGGGTGCCTTCTGCCTAAGCAGTTAGGGTAAGAAGACATCTCTACCAAAGAAGCAGAACCTTACAGACACTAAATCTATAATAACTTGGACTTTGAACTTTACAACTTCTATAATGGTAAAAAGAAACAAAACAAAACAAAATGGGTTTACCCACCCTCCAGTGGAGGAGGGCCTTATGCCCATGACCAAGGACAGTACTAATTGGACTCAAGGTATTTTTTTCTTAAGAAAATGAAGTTGGAGGAGGATATTACCAAAGTACATTGCATACGCGCATGAAGCTTTCCACGAATAAACAAAATCTATATTAAAAACAAATGTCTGGTATTATCCAGCTTGGGTTTTTTTTACTGCATCTCCAAAGGACTAAGGCACTGAGTAGCAAAGGTTTGAAAAGATCCATTTATCTGAAAACTAATTTCTGTCTTTGTGCAGATCCTAAATGGACATAAACCTCTTTTGGGTTTAACCATTTTACAGCTCTGTTGTAAGTCCTGAACATTAAGTTCTTTGAGAATAAGTCTCCACGTGGCTGAGTCCACACCAGATTTCTGAGTTTCTGAATTGAGTCTGAACACGGTTGAACGCTCATCGACTCTACCGTTTAGCCCAGGTCACCAGAAAATCCAAATGCTCAGTTTCAACCCAGCCAGGAAACTCTTGATCTATAGTTGTCCTGTCTGCAAGATGGGCTGGGTTAAAGGGAGTGGCCAATCCAAGAGCTCTTGGATTGGTAGGATCAACATAATAAAAATGGCATCTTGCCAAAAGCAGTCTACAGATTCAATGCAATCCCTATCAAAATTCTGGCACAATTCTTCACAGACCTGGAAAGAACATTAATCAACTTTTTATGGAAAAACAAAAGGCCCAGGATAGCCAAAACAGCACTGTACAATAAAGGAACTTCAGGAGGCATCACCATACCTGACTTCAAGCTCTATTATAGAGCTATAGTCCTGAAAACAGCTTGGTATTGGCACAAAAATAGGCAGGTAGACCAATGGAACCGAATTGAAAACCCTGATTTTAACCCACACACTTATGAACACTTGATTTTTGACAAAGAAGCTAAAACTGTACAATGGAAAAAAGAAAGCATCTTCAACAAATGGTGCTGGCATAACTGGGTACTGGTATGTAGAAGACTGCAGATAGATCCATGTTTATCGCCTTGTACAAAACTTAGGTCCAAATGGATCAAAGATCTCAACATAAATCCAGCCACACTGAAATGTTTAGGAGAGAAAGTGGGAGATACTCTTCAACGAGTTGGTACAGGAGACCACTTCCTAAACATAACACCAGTGGCACAGGCACTGAGATCGACAATTAACAAATGGGACCTCCTGAAACTAAAAAGCTTCTGTAAGGCAAAGGACACAGTCAACAAGACAAAAAGGCAGTCCACAGAATGGGAAAAGATATTCACTAACCCCACATCTGACAGAGGGCTGATCTCCAAAATTTACAAAGAATTCAAGAAGCAAGTCTCCAAAACACCAAAAGATTCAACTAAAAGGTGGGGTACAGAACTAAACAGAGAATTCTCAATAGAGGAGGCTAAAATGGCCAAGAGACACTTAAAAAAGTACTCAACATCCTTAGCCATCAGGGAAATGCAAATCAAAATAACTTTGAGATACCATCTTACTCCTGTCAGAATGGCTAAAATCAAAAACACCGAAGACAATTTATGCTGGAGAGGATGTGGAGAGAGGGGAACACTCCTCCACTGCTGGTGGGAGTGCCAGCTCGTACAGCCTATTTGGAAATCAGTATGGAGATTCCTCAGGAAAGTGGGAATCAATCTACCACAAGACCCAGCAA